AGAGCATGCAGCAGAAATATTGATCCGCTTGTGGGTAGCATGCATACGCAATTCCGTTCTCATAGCAACTGTGTACGTTTCTTTAAAATGATTCTATCAAATATTCGAAATACGTCGTAGCTACTGTTAACTTTATTATTATCATCATCGTGGAGATATTTTTGTTTAGTTTTTGTAACCCTGTTTAAGATGAAAAAATATAAAACGATGGGTTTGGTTGTAATTGGACTTTCAATAAATCATCTCATTTTTCTTACAGAAAATCGTCATGAGGGGATACTTCTTACGAAATCTCTCTCCAAGATTAGAATGCACAACGGGTGGGATATATACAGATCTATAACACCAGTTTATTACGTGTCAAAGATCATCGGTCTCGCATCGTTCTCCTTCCCCCAACCCCACGGCAGCTCCACCGTGGAGCGATCAGCCTGCGCCATTTTCTACACCTTCGCCATCACGTGCGCCATCTGCGTGTCGTTCCCGTTCTCGTTCTACTGGTACGTGTGCCACCTGTACCCGCGCTTCGCCTACTCGCTGTCGGTGCCGCACGCGGCCAACCAGTGCTTCCTGTTCGTGTCGGCGGTGGCCAGCCTCGCCCTGTCGGCCACGCGCAGCGGCGAGCGCCTCAGGCGCATCCTGGCGGAGTTCGCGGCGGCGGACGCCATCTTGTTCGCGAAGAGCGAGCGGCGCGCGCTCTACCGGAGCGGGCGGCGCGTCGCGGCGGCGCAGGTGGCGGCGGTGGGCGCGGCGGTCGCCGCGTGGTGCGGGGCGGCCATGGCGGTGGGCGCGGACGCCCGCGGACGCGCCGACGCGCTCCTTCACCACTTCATCCACCTGGTGTGCGTGGTGGCGGCGGTGCAGTTCTGCGACTTGGTGCTGCTGCTCAGGTGCGGCCGGTGACGAAATTGCGTACTAGGGCACAAGCTGGCTGATACGGTCTAGATTGTCGAACCGACATTTAGGTCCAGATTACCACACTAAGAAATTGTGATGGACGTAGAGATTGCAGCGCAGGCTTCCTCCACTTGCCATTTTACCAATGTCTGATCGTCATTTATTGAGTCGTCACAGTTGGAATCATTCAGAATCTGCTGTGTAAACGCGAGCGCAAGTTCATTGAATTATGATAGATTCTAGAACTGAACCCTTGCGATTACACCGCACGAAAGGAAGAACTGTTGGAAAGTACCATAGAAAAGTACAACATAAGCACTACACGGAAAATAACCGCCCCTCAAAAGCGTATTTCATATCGTGCAGTACTCTATGACTGTTGAAATGTTAATGGGAGAGGTTTATAAATTCTGTAAATAATCTAAGCCTATTCTCTGGAAAACAGATTTAAACATAATCTTTATAATGTAATGGAAATGATTGTATAAGTTCTGAATATATATGTTGTGGACAACAGCAGGAAATCCTATTATGCACCTTAATTTAAATACAGTACATCACATTAATTTATAAGCTTTTTTACCTTTAAAACACTGGAAGTTTGAACTTAAAGAACTCGTTATCTTTTCTGTTATATCATCACACTCATAATTTTGCACGTGCCAAAGCAAGATATTTTTTAAAGACTTGGAGACAACAAAATGACGTAATGAATAAACGGAAGATTAGCGTTCATTCAACTAATTTTAGTTTTTAATTTTATATTCATACTATAAAACGATTAATAATACCATGTATAGCATTAATAATGCCTCGAATTCATTGCCTTTTCACTTAAAGAGGAAGTCAGGAAATAAAGAGGAATCATCAATTCGTTCTGATGTACATTTGTGAATTTTCGGTTAAAATTATTTCATTTTAATAGACCAGCGCTATAGTTGCGCTATAGTTGCGCGGCGAAGTAGTTGAACGGAAGTAAAGCGAATTTCAAATTTTAAGTGTTTAAATATAATTAATATACAAACAATACTGTTTCATTTTGTCACTTTAGTAACATTTTTCCTTCCTTGTATTGTGCCCTTCTTCAAATTGACCTCGCACATGCTAACTTCAAATGTCCAAGATAGCGATGAAGAATCGTAGGGCAGGAAAAAATATTTCTGAGTCACATTTTTCCTTACGAGTAACGATTCAATTGACCTTCTTGGTAACTTCAACTCTAGCAGCTAATATTGGATAACTCGAATTTTTTGCTTTTGGCTTGACATTCGAGCTATTGTTTATATAGAATGAACATTGATGCTTTTATTTTTTTTGAAAGTACAGTTCGTTATGTCAAGGAAATTAATTAGTAGTTATTTCATCCTTCTCGATTGATTGAAGCCCATGGTCTTAACTTCATTAGTACCAAGTGCTAGTTCGACGATATCGGTCGCATCACGCATTTTGATGTTTAATTTTAGAAGTTTTCTTGTTTCAAACTCTCACATGTTTTCCTCTGTTCTTTTCGTTTTGGCAGAACTAGAAAATAATTAAACTGTCCCTCGCCAATATTCTCCCTTTACCTCTTAAGCCGATTGAATTGAATGTGATGTATGAGAATTTTGTCTTGCCTTTTATTTAGCTTATTTTTTACGTGTGTGTGGGAGGAGGGTAATTCCAGCCTGCACACATCGTATGCATGTCAAAAGGAATTTATTTTTCGGCTTGAATATTTTCCTTGTTTTATTATCTGTTGTTCATTCAATCCCATACGTTGATCTCTTAAGTTTGTCAGAAAATTGCTTTCATTTTATTTACATTCAATTACATATTCAGTTGCTCTAAGTAAATTTATTGACGCCAGTTACATTAAAGTTGTTTTCTGGCGGCTATAGGCTAACTTGCGCCATGATCCTCTCAGCACAGCTAGTGTCGTGAACGGAGGTGATCAGAAATAAATATTTTTCTTTCTCAATGGAAAAGTGCAGAAGACTATTCATAAAACACCAATTAATCCACAAACTTTAATTGAATTTTCCAACCCCACCATCACTTTTCTCACGTATAACTTCCAGAATGACTTTCACTACTAGCAGACCCTCATTGCTGCTCTATTGCAGTGAACTGCGCTTCACTCGCTACTGCTCCCGTGATTGATAATCGCGTTTTACACTACGCTCTGCAAAATTTCTAAATAAATGAAAGGCTTTCTTTCAAGTATGGATTTGTTCTAGGCCCTGCTGGACACGGTGGCCAAGAAGTCTACTGTTAAAACGTTCTCCCTCAACTTTGGCTATGCGCTCGTGATTACTGACTCGGAGAAATTTGGTTTACTTGTCCGAGATAACGTTCATGTAATTCCGGTGTTATAATTCCGGACGATATTTCACAATCGCAGAGGCAGAATGTTTAGCCCCTGATCCCCGTATACTTGACTGCGCGGCGGGGTGCCTATCGTTTATGTTCAGGGGCGCTTGACACTCAAATCAACGACGCGCGTCATCATCAGCGACGCCCTCACAAGTCCGAATGAATTCAATCCACTTTTTGCATACTCCCGATGCCTATTAGAACAAACTGTGAAAATTACAGCGGAATCGGTTGAATCGTTTTTGCGTCTGTTTTTCACAGACATACGCACATTCTCCGTTATCTCTGTCTCTCTCTGTCTGTCTCTCTCTCTCTCTGTCTCTTATATATATATATATACAAGTAATGAGACTGGTAACATTGCGGGCGATCTGGCAACGTTGTGTCTAACGGCCTGTGTAGACCGTTTTGTTTATCCCTTCCACATCCTCAGTCCGAGTTACAACTCCGTACAAATAACACATTATTTTTGACAGCGCCATCAGTGAAGTTGTGTTTTTGTTGTGTGTTAGAGAAATGGAGCATCGGAATTTAGAGTAACGTTGTGCAATAAAGTTTTGTATTAAACTTGGTGAATCCGCGAGTGTGACTTTTGAAAAGTTGAAACATGCCTATGGGGAACATTGCTTATCAAGGGTACAAGGTTTTCGCTGGCCCAAATCATTTTTGGAAGGTCGAGAACACGTTGAAGATGACCCTCGCTCAGGGAGACCTTCAACTTCAAAAACTGACGAAAACGTAGAACGTGTGAGGGCTCTTGTGAGATCAGACCGCCGTTTAACAATAAGGATGATCAGTGAACAGTTAAATTTAAACACTTTCACCGTACATCAAATTTTGGCAGACGATTTGAACATGCGAAAGATTTGTGCCAAAATGGTGCCGAAAAACCTCACAACTGAACAGAAGGACAATCGAAAAAACGTGTGCGCTGATTTTCTTGAGAGGATTGCCAATGACCAAGAATTCTTCAATTGTGTAATCACAGGTGATGAATCGTGGATATTTGAGTACGATCCTGAAACGAAGCGGCAAAGCGAAGAGTGGCACACTCCGTCATCTCCTCGGCCGAAGAAATGTCGAATGAGCAAATCGAAGATCAAGACCATGCTGATTTGTTTCTTTGACAGTAAGGAAATCGTGCACAATGAATTTGTTCCACCAGGACAAACTGTCAACCAAGTGTTTTAAAAAAGTGTCCTTGAAAGTCTCAGGAAAAGAGTGATTCGTGTGAGACCACGCATTGCAGACAAGTGGATGCTTCATCATGACAATGCCCCGTGTCACTCGGCCATTTCCATCAGTGAATTTTTGACCTCAAAACTCATTACTGTTGTTCCTCAACCCCCATATTCACCTGATTTGAGTCCTTGTGACTTTTTCCTTTTCCCTAAATTGAAACATGTCCTAAAAGGACGTCATTTTGGAACTCTGGAGAACATTCAAAAGACCGTCACCGACCAGTTAAAAGCCATTCCAGTTGAAGACTTTCAGCGCTGCTACAAAGAGTGGGAACAACGACTCCGCCGGTGTATAGCTGCCCAAGGGAACTACTCTTAAGGAGATCATATTGTTGTTTGAAAAAAAAATTAGTTACTAATATATCTTGCAATTTTCCGTCCCTATCCGTCTTAATTACTATGCCATCACCCCCATCAACACAGTGTGATCACCCTTCCATTGCCTGCCTACTTTTCCCTCTCAACTCCAAGGACAATGTTATTACTCCTCCCGCTTCTTCCTGTGCGCAGGCACCGCCTGGGCTGCGTGAACGCGCAGCTGCGCGCGGCGCTGCGCGAGGCCAAGGCGCGGCGCAGCGAGCAGCGCCTGGTGTCGGTGGCGAGCACGGCGCAGAGCCTGCGCGCGCAGCCCCTGGCCGGAGGCGCCCCCACGCCCTCGCCCAGGGCTGAAGTGTCGCTGGCTGGCGCGCGAGGTGGCAGGTAGGCACGCTTTACGTCTGTTTAGAAGGTTGCTCGTGGTGCAAGTGGTGAGACCCTTCACCTTCCAGAGCTGGGGCCGGGGTTCAATTCCCGGGGTATCCATGTGGAACGAGGAAAGGCAGATGGTGCGGTGCTCATTTAGGAAAATATCTGGAGAAGGAAAACGTCTCTAGCCGATGTGAATGTCGCCGCCTGATCTCACATTCCAACGAGAAAGGAACACGATGCCTCCTGGGATATAACGTGCACTACACAAGAGACAAGTTGTTGTCGCACCCTGAATCAATATTCAGTCGCCGATATTTTTTACATTGCCTTTACATAGATGCAAGGTGTATCCAAGCCCCTCGAGGGGCGTTGAGCGCTTGCGTTTTCGGAGTAATTCTACATTAACAACAGAGCGAGTGTAATCATTCATTAATTAACATTGTCATATCCATCACGTCTCGTTGCAGTCAGTTGTCAAGAGGACCGCCAGGTAGCATTACCGCGTACGTGCCTCCTAACACGAGCTCCTGTGGCACTTCCCAGCGGCCAGAATTGGGAAGGAATTGGAATAGGGGGATGGTAGAGAACACTTCTCAGAGGTTGGACCAGCCCTTGTGAAGCAGCCAAACTCATTTTGTAGGAACAAATTTCACGTGATATTGTCCGAAACTTGACGAGCATCGAACGCCGTCTTCCTTGGTGAAAGGCGAGTGAGTTCTGAGCCACAAGATGACGTGCTTTAAAACCATGCATACATTTACTACTAAATCCTTCGTTGGCGTGTTCTCATCTGTTTTCCCCTCTTCTTCCTCCTCTTCGACCTCACCGACGTCCAGAGTCAATTCTTTTAACATTATAGGGTACATGTGCTTTATTTTTACATTTAAATTACAATACACTGCATTCATCGGCCATGCTACAGCTCGGTGAGATCGGCGTCTGGGTGATTACATCTATACAGATTTTTGCTCTGTTTACTTACTTCATTTGTAATCACTATTTTCTACTATTACATGCTAAAAGTTTATATTTCCTTCTATTGTGTTATATTTTGCATATATTTGTTAAAATAGCTTTGGCAGTTTGTTGCTGTCATTCTCATCAGGCATTAACAGTTGCATATCAATGGGAGAAGAGAAACCTCAACGTTTAATCTCTATCTTTATTTGAATAAAGAGTTACTTATCATCGTTTAGGCTCTTTTTATTGGAACCTTTCTGATACCTCCTGATACTTTCGTCTTTCAACGCTTATTGGCTGTTTAAAAAATAAATTGAAACCCTCATCATGCATAATTGCTTTGTAGAAAACACCAGCTTTCTGTTATAGCCAAGGCTGCCTATAATCACGTTGTAACCTTATTTTTGTATCTGTCGATGTAGATAACAGTTGTGCAATTATTGAAACAGAGTGAATGTTAAATTAATTCTTAAAACAGTTAAAGCACTTGCGACCTGAAGCAAAAGCCGTAAGGGTAGCCAATCGTCCTCCATTGACGTCAATTGTCCTATCGTCTTTTGTATTTTAAATGTCATCCTTTAAGTAAATATTTAATATTTATTGGCACTTATTTTATCAAGTGACTAACATCTGCTATGTTGTTTCTTTTATTGTTTCATTTAGAATAGAAAACATAATTTTTCTGAACGCTGACACGCGCATGCATTATAGTGTGACTATCTAACAACGAAAATAAAAAGAGACGCGCAGACTATCTTAATCTTATTTTGTGAATGAATCTTTTCACTTGAATCGCAAATAGAGCGAAGAAAAAAATAGAGCTTCTGTTCGTCTAAATTAAATATTTATAAAAAATGATTGCGATACAATTTTTTTGTTGTTTCTTCATTTTCGAATGCCCTTCCTTTTACTTGAACATTGTTGTCAACCCTGGTAAAAACGGGAAATGTTCAAAAAAGTAAACCTTTCCTGTACCTGAAAATATCGTCAATTTATCAGTCAATAAATGCAGGTCAAATTTAGTCACTGTCTGGACAACAAGTTTGAGAGTTTTCCGTGGTTTCACTGAACGACACCAGCCGAATCCTCGAGCAGTGCTCTAACACACGGATAACGAACCGTGCGCGATCTTTCTTTCCTCTTCCTTGCCTTATCATCTCCACTTATTTACACAAACTTTTATGCTCTACTCTTCCACACATGTTGGGGGACCAGTCGGCGTCTGAGATCTTGTTCCGGTTAGGGCGGTGCCCTGCTGGTGGGAGATTCCTGGGTGGGGAAAACCCGGCACGCCAACGTGCAGGTCGGCGTCGGATCTCTCCGACCAGTGGGTAAAGACCACCGTCGCCTCCGCGTATAGAACGAGCCCTACACTTACAAGGCAGAGGCTGTTCAGTCGCCCGGAAATCCAAAATAACCAATCAATCAAGTGGCGCCTGCTGTTGAACTCTCCTGTTGACATTCCCCGGGTACCGTTACGGCGCTGGCATGTCATGGCGTCAAGGTCTGACTCCTGAAAGATGCCGCGCGGCTGGTGTGTGTGCGTGCGCTGGTGCGTTCGTGCTGCAGGTTCCCCGCGGGCGAGCGCGTGCGTGCCCTACGCCTCCCCGTATAAAACGAGCCCTACACTTACAAGACTAAGATCAGTTGCTGTCCAGTCGCCCGGAAATCCAAAATAACGAGTCAATCAAATGGCCTCCTCTGTTGAAGTCACCTGTTGGCGTTCTCCCGGTACCGTTACGGGGCTGGTATGCGTCTGTCAAGGGCTGACACCTGAAAGATGTCGCGCGTGGTGTGCTGGTGCGCTGGTGCGCGCGTGCTGCAGGTTCCCCGCGGGCGAGCGCGTGCGGGCCCTGCGCCGCGCGCACCACCTGCTGGCGGGGCTGGCGGCGCGGGTGAACGCCGCCTACGACATGCAGATGCTGCTGCTCATCGCCAGCCTCTTCACGGGCATCGTCACCAACCTCTTCGTCCCCATCGTGGCGGCCACGCACGGCCCCGGCGGTATGCGCCTTCTCAACAGCGAGTCGCTTCATACAATGTGTGCTCTGTGGCTGGTTTGGCTTTCTGTCTTCACCGCTGGTGCGATTAAGACTTCGTGCAAAAATCCTGCACTGGTGCACTCTTTCACAATGATACGTTGTGAGCGCGACAGACTGCAATGAGGAGACGGGTGGGTTGCTTCCACTTTTATTGGTGATCGATGGGATTCTCATTTGGGGTGGACATCTCTGACATGGAGTCATACCGTCATCCTTGATAGGATTGAAGGGGCGTGCTCTAGCAGTGTGCGGAATGGCTTACACGGCTCACGGCATAGACTGATGTCTCGGCAGTGCCTCTGACCGGGTGGTGTAGAGTTCCAGACCAGACAGTAGCAGAATTTTCGACCGCAGCTGTGTGAAGGAGAATTCTATCGGCCAACTGCTCTGATCGGTGGTTTTCCATGGTCTCTCTACTGAACACAAGGTGAATGACAGAGCCATACTCTTACAAACGAGCCACAGACAACGCGCAATATTCCTTTTTCGTGTTCTTTTGTTACTACTTATGTAGACACACTTACAAACACCTACTACCGCACATGTCACGAGCTTGAAGCTTCTCGAGATGGAGCGGTGCCCACTAGTGTGAGATATCTGGCTGGGGTAACCAGGCAAGTCGACGTGTAGGTCCTTGACAGGTCTTTCTACACAGCAGGAAGAACATAGCCTCAAAAATGATAAAACATGCACTACACTTGGGAGACTAATAACCATACTAGTCGACGCGCCCGAAATACGAAAAATAAATCAATCAACGAATACGTGTGCGTTCATATCCTTGTTACCAGTTGGGAACATATTCCATTTGTTGCAAATCACGAGACTTGTATAGAGCAATACAAAAGTCTCCTCATACATACACGACGCGGTCCTTCACGCTGAGTGTATACCAGACGAATACCGGAACAGTACCCTAACATAGCCACGGAACGCGCGCGATCTTTCCTTCCCAATTATTGCCGTATCCTCACCCCTTACACATACTTAAACTTCCAGCATGTGTGGTACTGTAGTGCATGTAAGACCGGTCAGGAGCATAGAGCTTATCCCGACTGGGGCAGTGCCCCACCGGAGGGTGATACCTGGTTGAGAAAAACCCCGCTAGTCGACGGTAGGTCGGCGCCGGATCTCGCTATCACCGTCACCTCCCGAACAAAACATGCACTACAGTTACAGGACGAATGAGCTTGGGTGTTGACGCACGCGGAATCATTAGTAATCAACTCATGCTGTGTGCGCACGCTCTCTAACGGCGCGTTTGGTACGGCGCGCGTGCGCAGCGAGCGGCGGCGGCGACGACGGGGGCGGCGTCGGCGGCGGGGGCGGCATGCGCCTGAGCGCGGGCGGCGGGGCGCAGCTGGCCGTGTGGCTGCTGGCGCGCGTGGCGCTGCTGGCGGGGCTGGCGACGGCCGGGGACGCGGCGGCGGCCGAGGCGCGGCGCACGCCCGCGCTCGTGCTGCGCCTGCTGCTGCTGGCGCCGCCGCCTTCGCCTCCCCGCGCCGACGGGGCCCTCTGCGCGGCCGACGAGCTGCGCCTCTTCGCCCAGCAGCTGCTGCACGCGCGCGTGCGCCTCACCGCGTGCGGCCTCTTCCCCATCGACTGCACGCTGCTCTACAACATCGCCGCCGCTGTCACTACCTATCTCGTGTTTCTCATGCAGTTTCTGATGGGAGACACCGCTCGCAATCGCACGTAATCCTTCGAAGAGTCCCATGAAACCTCTACTAAATGGAATCGGTGAGATTTTATACGAATAAGTCAATGTGAACAAACTGTGAAATAGGCGACAGCACGATTATTGGTTTTCGAATTGGTAATAGCTCATAATCCGACGATGACGAATAGGTGGGGCCCCACCTTCATCTCCCCTTTGGCCTACATCGGCCTGTGTGCAGTTACACAGGGCTACCTTTACCTTAATATTACCTAATCAATTACTGTGCTGCATGCCTCTGTCAAATACAGACGTTATCCGCCACGATACCACTGAATGAGTATTTGCATGCA